GTGGGCAAGTTTAGGAATTCACCAGTTGCCTTAAAGCTTGGAATCATTTGCTTAACTTTACTGAAGACAAGAGAATTTCCTGTTTGATTGTTCATTAATAAAAGACTTTGTTGTACTTCGCAAGCCATCTAAAGACTATTTGTGGTGAAAACCTCTGAGAGCTTCTCTTTAGGCCCCCTGGCTTCCCGCTGAGCAAAGGTTGCACATCGTGTTCTAAAGGGAATTCTTCACAGGCCCAGCGCGTGACAGAACAATCAGGAAGAATTAGATTTTAATACTTGTTGATTTAAAACATGATTATTGTGTGTGTGTATAAATAAAAATAAAAATGTAATGTTCATTTGTGGGATTAACAGAACTCAAAAAACACTGGACAAATTGACACAAAATTTGGACACAATACACCTAACAGTCCAACGAGTGTCCATCACCCATAAACACACGTGCGCGCACACACACACAACCCCAGCGGAAGACTTAAAACCCCCAAAAATACACCATATATACACATACACATACACTCATATACATATGCACATGCACACATTCATACACACACACACACACACACACACATATATATGCACAAACACACACAAATACACACAGGCCTGTAGCGAGGGGGTGGTTTTAGGGGTTCAACCCCCCCCCCCCCCGAAATGTTTCAGATTTTTTTAAAAAACCTGGTTTACTCATGAATTTTAACTGGTTAACCAAATCCCCATGCTAAGTCTATGAGATGCAAAAAATTAAGAGTCCCTCCAGAACTGCAAGCACTATCTCAGGCAAATATTGACAATTTATTCACACTGTCATTACTTGCAGCAATAGCTGATGTAGTGAAGCAACCAAGTTGGGTGTGTGTGTGTTGAATGCTCTCATTAAGGAGGCCAGACTTGGTGGAGGTGGTTGACAGGGGCGGAGCTGCAGGCTATTGAAGGCTGTTCTGCCCCCTGCTGTGCTCTTTGCTTCAGTGTGAGCTAGGAGGCAGGTTTCAACCCCTGCCTCCTGAAATTTTCAACCCTCCCCGAAATTTTCAACCCTCCCCCCCAAATTTTCAACCCTCCCCGAATTTTTTTTCTGGCTACGGCCCTGAATACACATATATACACATACACACACACACATATATATACATATACACATGCACACATACATATATACATACACTCATATACATATGCACATGCACACATTCATACACACATGTATATATATGCACAAACACACACAAATATACATATATACACACATACATATGCACACACATATATACATACACTCATATACATATGCACATGCACACATTCATACACACGCATATATATGCACAAACACACACAAATATACACAAATACACACATATACATACACGTACATGCACATATACATATATACATATACACATGCACACACATATACATATCCACATACATACATATATACACACAAATATGCATATAGATGAGCACACACATATACACAATGGTCTGGAATGACCAGGGTGGGACAAAGGACTCTTGTCTGCTGGAGCTAGGTGTGAATGTTTCAACTGACCACCTTGATTAGCATATAATGGCCTGACAGTGCCTGGAGCAAACTTTTGTTGAGAGGTGATTAGATGTCCCAGATTGTTTCCTCTCTGTTGTTTTGCTGTTGTAATTTTAGACAACCACCATGTCAGACTATACAGAGAAGCCATTGAAAGCCACAAGCATGTGGACAATTTCGACAATTTTGTTTTCTCTCTGTTGTTGTGCTGTTGCAATTTTAGAGTTTTAAAATACTGGTAGCCAGATTTTGTTCATTTTCATGGTTTCCTCTTTTCTATTGAAATTGTCCACATGCTTCTCTGTGTAGTCTGACATGGTGGTTGTGAGAGTGGTGACAAAGACACACCAAGGACATCTAATCACCTCTCAACAAAAGTTTGCTCCAGGCACTGTCAGGCCATTATATGCTAATCAAGGTGGTCAGTTGAAACATTCACGCCTAGCTCCAGCAGACAAGAGTCCTTTGTCTCACCCTGATCATTCCATAGATATATAAACCCTTCTTCCTAGTTCCAACAGACCTCACTACCTCTGAGGATGCTTGCCATAGATGCAGCGAAACGTCAGGAGAGAATGCCTCTAGACCATGGACATATAGCCCGAAAAAACCTACAACAACCCAGTGATTCCGGTCATGAAAGCCTTCGACAATACAGTATACAGATCTTTCTTGAAGCAAGAATGATCACGTTAAGGAGATTTCAGGTGGCTAAGTTAATCTGCATTAAGAGCATTCCCTAATTAAGAAGACATTGGATTCCGGCCAGAATCTTCTTTGGAAATTCTTTATCTAGTTGTTCATTAGTGACACACAAAAGGAAATAAGAGAAAATGCCAGAGTATGCAATGTTCAACGGGCCGCACTCACTTCTCGTCGCTTGTTTTGGCCTGCTCCAACCTGATCTCCGACTGCATGCTCTCCACCTGAAGTTCCAGCTTCTTAATAGTGTATAATAGCTGCTGCTTCTCATCCTGGTCTCCAGCATTTGCACTCTTCTGATGCTCAAGAGCCTGACATCTGCCCAACAAAGGAAACAGAAGGCATATGTATCTCTGAAGGCTGATGATGAAATTGTCAGAAAGTCTGTGGCCTAGCCCAACAAGAATTACACCAGCTAATTTACCCTTTCTCCAAAACCTGGAGAAATTTCTTGAAAAAAAAATCTTTAAAAACAGAACTAAATGGAACTGCTGAAGGGTTTTCCCTCTTCATGGCACAGTACAGATCTGATTTTGGGGAGGCTGGGGGTGGGCACAAACTTTTAAATCTCTCTTCAATTTGTGCTCAGTTTGTTCTGTCCTGATTCAGATGAAAAACTACTTCATTCAAGCAGTATCCTTTGTTCTCTTTCTCCAGTATCGTACTCCTAGAATTCAGCAACAGAAACCTCTTATCACTAAGATAATAAATTTCGTCTAAACAAGCTCCTGGATGGTTTCTTTCAACTGCAAAGGTGTTCTCCCTAGGCCTCTAGTGCAAATTATTGTCAATTTCTGTAAAAATGTCCAGTAGACATTGACCATAAAATTGCGCAGGAGACCTAGGCACCTTTCTACGCATCTTTAGGGCTCCTTCTACACTACCATCAAGATTATCTGCTTTGAACTGGATTACATGAGTCTACGCTGCTATACAATCCAGTTCAAAGCAGATAATCTCGATTTTTATGGCAATGTAGAAGGGGCCTAGGTTTTCTAGAGTGATTGTATGGTATTCAAAGCTTTTTGCATGTAAATAAAACAGCATTGAATGAGCCTGCTTAATAAATGAACCTACTGCATCTGCAGAAGGCTTCCCTCCAAACAACAACAACAACAACAACAACAACAAAACCCCAAGGAACTCTTTTGTTTTGTTCTGGGGGGATTCGCCTTCATTTTATGGGAAGAAAAGGTTGCCAATTGCTGGGTTAAAAGGGAAAGGTGCTGAAAAGAATGCAAGGGAGCGGAGGAATGATTTATTGTTGCCACCAATATGAAAGGAACCAGTATTCAGGAGATTTTACCCCAGTTCCCAATTTTAAGAAGAACTGGCCGATTTGCAATGGAGGTTGCCGATTAGGAACCAAATTTACCATCAAGTTGGAAGGGAGGCTGTTCAATTGCACCTCCTCCTTTATTAAGAAAGTAATAACTTAGTAATTACACTGTATATACTGTAGCGTGACTGGAGAAAAGAATGTAGGTTTATTTGGTTACTTTTCCCTGCGTTTCTGCCACCACGTGTGAGTAATGGCACTTTGGACACAGAATAGACGGAGCTGAGGCAATCTTCAAATAAAAGTTAACAATTTTCTTAAGTACACAGTGTGTGGTTGCAAGATGTAACTTTTCCTTGTTGCACTTGGAATAATACTTGTAACTTTAACAGTTCATTCTTTCAAGTAACACAGTATCTTTCTGACATAGAGCACTTGTTTCAGACAAAGTTTCAATACAGGGATGTTTCCCTTGTTTGATCCTCCCTAGATCAAATACTAAGTAAACTATTCTTTAGCCTCTCCTTAGACTAAAGAATACCAGCTCTGTTTCACCATTCGGCTGCACTAGCCTGAGAAACTTCCAATAGCCAAACCCAGCTTTTCAAAGCCTCAAAGCTTTGCTTCACAAGTCACTCCGCCACCTTTCCTTTCCTTCTCTCCCAACTCCTAACTCCTCACTCCTCTGAACCTAACTCCTGACTCCCCTGAACCTAAACCCGGACTGCTCACACCTCTAAACCTAAACCCTAACTGATTTTTTAACTGTCGTTTTCTCAAACTCTCCCCTCTAAGCTCCTCCCTCTTCCCTCTCTCCCGCATCGGTCTCCATGGCAACGCACATGGAGGACTCCCCTGACTTAGGCCGCTCCAGCATTACTGCAGCCAATCTAAACACAAATACAGTTAAAATCATACAATTTATAATCAACTCCTGTACAGTGCTCCACATATGTTCAGAGAATTTTTAATTATACCCTTGCTAGCTAGTAGAAACCATTTTAGATAACTCTGTCTGAATTTGTTTTTATATGAACCCATCTTGAGAACTAGAGTAGTACAAATGGGGATGTATCTAGATCTTAACTACAAAAAGCTACCACAGATGTCATTAGGACCACCAGCTGGGCCTCAGGTTTTGAGATGTTCCTAATATCTATTCTGACGTTTCAATACAAACAACATCCTTACTTTTCTTGCAGCTTCTTCTGGATTACTTCAGCTTCTTCCAATTTAGAATGGGTCTCTTGAAGTTCTCTGAACAGAGCAGACACTTGCAGGCTTAGAGTTTCTACCTCATCGCCCACCTGCAAGAAAGAGATGAATCAAAACCCAAACCCAACAGCACAATTTTATACTCTGTTCCCAGATGTAATGGTTGATGGTTGTAAAGGTTTTACTATAAGGATATCGAAATGAGAATCAGGGGTCAAAGGCTTCCCAACAAATCCATGGTGGGCAAGTTCTACCTTCCAACCCTAGAAACGGGGTGGGGGGGGGCATTACAAGTTGTTTTAAACCACTCCAGATACTATAGGCAGATTGGATGAATTGCACACATTCAGTGGGTCATCATGCCTTTTCATTATAAGGACCCTAATCTGAAAGGGATCTGATTCCCCTTGCCTCCTTCATTTGGCAATTCTGTGGGTAAGACTTGACTGTATGGTGCATTGCTGAAATCACAGATGGTGTTATCTGTTGCCAACTGAGGCCATGCCATTCTGCCTGATGGGAATCCCAAATAGGCAGATTTACAGCATCTCACCAAATGTCACAATGAGGCATTCTAAGACACAAGGCATGAGATCACCATGCACATGGCTGCAAGTGAATACAGGAAACTGGAGAATAGTTTACAGACATCACATGGTCTACTGGTAGGAAAAATAATAAATGCAAAAACATTTTCTTTGGTATGCAGCCTACATAAATGAGTAGTACATTTTGCTCTCACTTTTGCTTCCTCTTCTTCATGTTCCGTCTGAGAGCCCTTCTCATCCGTGGTATACTCCATCTTCGGTGCTCTGTGAAAGGCAAGAATCTAGTTCCAAGTTCAATGTACTCATTTGGATCCAGAGATCTCTCCCTAGAAAGAGACAACTGGAAAAGGACTTTCTAGCACCCCCAGTACCTTTCACTTCAAGAGAATTTAATAATAAAAAAATATATCCCAAACATTTCCAGTGGCAACTGTTTGTTTGTTGATTTATTTATTTCCTATATTTATACCTGTAACGGATTTATAAAATTGATAACACAGCGAATAGCTTATAATACTTTGCTGGTCTTTCTTCAATGTGTAGCACGGTTTGACTTGAAAGTATTCGTAACAGAGCCTTGGCTTTAAGAGAAACTGTAACAAGTTTATTGAAGTATAGAATAAGCTTAATAGTTTCAATGTTTCTTAACTCCTAGAGGCACATTTCTTCAGTGGTTACATTTATAACGTTTCATAAAACAACTCTTAAGAGGACTGTTTCTTCCACTAGACAGGTTTTAAACTTATTTTTTCTTCAAACTGTGTTTCCTTCCTTAACAGATCATTTCAGGTACCAGCTTATTCTTTCCCTAAGTTACCTCTGTTGCAGTAAAGATTCTTACTGGGTTTCTCTCCCCCTTTTTGTTCATACACTAACTACTAATCTAAATAAGTCAACTTGACCTATCTAAACCTCACAGGCTAAAAGCCTAAATCTTCCTGGTTCTCAACACAGTAGAACCTGCCTTTCCCTGTAGTTCTCTAACTACAGACTGCTTCCCTGATTTTCACCACTGTAGAACCAGCCTTTCCTGCAGTTCTCAGACTACAGACTGACTGTTTTAAAATGCCTGCCCTGCCAAGTGGCAGTTGGCTCTGCCCCTTTTCCCATGGCAACCCAGCTCAGAGTGAGCTCAGCTGGCTACCATCCCCCAGTTATGCTATTTTAAATACTTACCTTTTAAAACACCTATCTATAATTATACATAACTGTAGATTAAAATTCACACTTCACCACAATACCCCACCCTTCTCACCCCTGAGGGAGGACTCAGGGCAGCCTCACAAACACCATATGGTGTCATTATAATAAAATATTAAAACAACATATTAAAAATATTAAAACAACAATTAAAACAATTGATTAACACACACCTATTAAAATCAGTCTAAAATCCAGTCTGGGTCAAATCATTGCCATAATTTTTAAAATCTTCTTTTACTTGCTGCTCACTAATTGAACTGTTAAGGTGCAATTTAGATTCCTATGAATTTTACAATTGCAGACCACTGTGTTGTATGTAGTTGCGATGATACAGCAAAATCCTCTGAATTTCAAATATTGTTGCAATGTTAAGTACAAGTCTTGCCATCCTTATATGAGCCTATATATGTACGTTATATTTAATAATTAACCGTTGGTACCTGTCCTTTAGTTCCTCCACCTCCTTTTCTAATGCTTCCCTCCTCTGAGTCTCATTCCGCAGAGAATGAAGAAGCTGGCTGACAGTTAACTCTTCCGTTTGCAAGTATTTTTTTGCTTCATCCATAGATCTGCTCCTCCTTTGCAGAAGATTAAAGGAAAGACAAAACAGACTGAGTGTACAGAAAAGGCAATTTCCAGTGTCCAAGTCCCAGCCTCCTAATCAGACATTTGTGTGACATATGTTTAAACAGTACCTGGTAAATTTGAAGGGACCATAGAATTGTATGAAACATGCAGAATAATCACAGGATGTCTTAAACCTACACATGCTAATAAACTCTACAAGCTAGCTGGCATTGCCCCCCCCCCCCCCGAAGTGTGACGGGAAGTTGCTGCTAAATGTGAGAGAAATAAGGTTGAACACTGTGAAAGCCACCCACTACATGGCTACCAGCCTCCTCTCAGTAGACTCAAATCAAGAAAAAGCTTTATGAGAACTACCACTGCTCTTGGCGTCCCTCCAGCAACAGCGAGGGTATCCCTCTGGGCAGTTAAACCAGGAAACCTCAAATGGATGGCCCCCCACGAGGGTCTTCCTCCAGGGGCAAACCAAGAATGGGCAACTTGGAAGTCCCTGAACAGACTCAGAAGTGGAGTGGGCAGATCAAAAGGCAACCTGGCAAAATGGCACTACCTAAAAGAATCCCACACCTTGTGTGACTGTGGAGCAGAACAGACAACTCCGCATCTGTATGCTTGTCCACTGTGCCCTGCCTCATGTATAGAGGAAGATTTGTTGGGGGCTACAGACAATGCAATTGCTGTTGCCCATTTTTGGTCAAAAGATAATTAGCCACCTGCACTCCTTCTATTTTTATCGGTTTTATACTAATTTATGTAATGCTTTTGATACAAATTTAATAAGGAGGGACCATAGTGTGATACATGCTTGGAATTAAGATTTGTGTTCCGCTCAATATCTGTGTTTTCCCATGCTATTTCCACAGCCCAATTCCTTTTGTTACTTCTCATGGAAGAAAAGGCTTCAGTCACTCTGTCCACACCTTTTTAATTTTTTACTCCTATATTCTGTATCTTTTATTATTCCAACGCCTCCCACAAACAAGCCAGAGAGAAATATTAGATGGACTGAGATCGCTACAGGAAAAGCTCCATGGTAGAATGAGAAAGGAGGAGGAAACTCAACTTGGGACAGGACATTGCAATGGGGGACGCTCCTAACAGCAACTTACACATGGCCGCCACTGAGGCTCTGATTCCCCTATGTTCCAGAAGGGAAGGACAACCTTCATTTTCCTTATACAGAGAAAAGCGACAGACGGGGAGACAAAGGGGAGTTGAAGATGAAGTCCATGCTCTTTTTGAGGTATGACAATCAAGTTCCAGGCATAGCATCTCCGTGCTGACATGGAACGTAGCTGGTTGGCATGCCTCCATTAGATCCTGATTTCAGATTTCCTCGTCCATCACCGTATTTTACTAATCCAGGAGACATGGGCAGCAGAAGAACTGATATTTATTTATTTACTTACTTACTGTATTTGTATACCACCTTTCTCAGCCTGTAGGTGACTCAAGGCGGTTAACAGGGTAAAATTCAATTATTTATTAAGATATTAAGTGGTATTGTAGCGAAATTGCTACTCTATGTTAAATTTTTGGTGTATACCTCTATGTTTACATATGGCAGATAGGGAAGAATAGGCACAGACAGGGTAGCAACAGCAGGGATAGGATTCATTTGCATATGGAAGCCGATTGGTCATATGTAGATTAGCGTAGGCCCAGGATTTGACAGGTTGCTAGGCCAAAATGACAGTTGGGGAGAGCCGAGCTAAACATTCCAAAGGGGTGGAGCCAACGTTTAAAAATAGGCAGTTAGAGAGTCAAAAGTGTTAATTAGGAATTGCTGTTTGTGAGGTACAGTTAGAGAGTTAGGAATTGCTGTTTGTGAGGTACAGTTAGAGAGTTAGGGATTCCTGTTTGTGAGAGATAGTTAGGAACTTCTGTGAGAGAGAAGAGTTAGGAACTCCTGTTAGAAATAAGCAGTTAGTCAAATAGAGCTCAGGTTATTAGGAACATAAAGAAAGCCAGTGGTGCTTTAGTCAGAACATAATTTCAGTCAAGAGTGTGTAAAGCAAGTGACATGTTTGTGAATGAGAAACATTGAAAGTCTATTTCAGAAAAGTAAACCAAGTATATTATACTGACTGTAAGTCTCAGGATTGCAACAAAACACAAATGTAACCACAAGCGTTTGGAGCCTGAAGTTATAAATAAACTGTGTTACTTAGTTATACAGAAGTGTGTCTCAGTGCCTGTACAAAGGTTAAACAACACACAGAAAGTCCAAGCAAATATAAAAGAAGAAACTGAATCCTTATAAGAGTAAAGAGGTTTTTCTTAAATAAAGAAATAGTCTCCCTCCCTCGCTACAATATAAAAATGGTGGCAGCGGTGGGATAGAAAAGAAAGGTCTCCCCTGCCACACAACTGTGCCTTTACTTCGCTACAATATAAAATGGTGGCAGTGGTGGGATAGAAAAGAAAGGTCTCCCCTGCCACACGATAGTGCCTTTACTTCCTCACAGGTATCTTTTATCATTACCCGTTCATACCTTTCCCCCAAAATAAAAATACGCCCATTGCTTGGAATTTCATAGTAAAGTAGTCCAGCAGTCTAATCTTTGAATGAGAAGTTTCTATTTATCCAAAAGTTCATCTTGTTGAACTGCTGCTCCCTTTTCTTTCCATTTTCATTCATACAATATCTTTTGTTAATAGATAGGACGGCCAGAACCGAAATCAATTTTCATGTCAGAGACTTATATCTATTAAGATACATCAAAACAATCCTTTTTCTAATAGAGGTCTGTGAATGAGAAAAGGCAGGGCAAAAAAATCAAAACCCACCCAACCAAGCAAATCCACAAGTATGATCAATATCCCACAAGCCCGACTTACATATAGGTAGCTGTGTCACCCATTCTTTTATCACTAAGATCTTGATTTTCCTTTAAAGCTCCATTCACTTCTTCCTCCTGAAAAACAAGAAAATTTGTTAGTTACACAGTACAGCTGAATTATGTCTTTTAAACAAAAATATACAAATGTTGCACAAATTAGGTTTAGAAATGCCAGGGCAGCATTGTAGGCAATTCTATCCCCTCGAGGCATACAATGATCTGAAATATAGTGCTAGGTTTGGAAAAAAAAAACCAGTAACTAAATTTCACTTCAGTTTTCGCATCTAATATTATTTCCCTGTCCTAGGGTGCATCTATAATGTAGAAGCAGTGCAGTTTGACACCACTTTAACTGCTATGGCTCAATGCGATGCAATCCTGAGATGTATAATTTGATAAGGCACCAGCACTTCTTGGCAGAAAAGGCTAAAGACCTTGTCAAACTACAATTTCCATGATTCCATAACACTGAGCCATTGCAGTTAGTGGTGTCAAACTGTATCAGTTTTTACAGTGTAGATGCCCTTTAAAGACATCAGCAGGGATGTCATAGAATTATAGAGTTGGAAGAGACCTCAACGGGCCATCCAGTCCAACCACCTGCCAAGAAGCAGGAATATTGCATTCAAAGCACCCCCGACAGATGGCCATCCGGCCTCTGTTTAAAAGCTTCCAAAGAAGGAGCCTCCACCACACTCCGGGGCAGAGAGTTCCACTGCTGAACGGCTCTCACAGTCAGGAAGTTCTTCCTCAGACGGAATCTCCTTTCTTGTAGTTTGAAGCCATTGTTCCGTGTCCTAGTCTCCAGGGAAGGAGAAAACAAGCTTGTTACCTCCTCCCTGTGACTTCCTCTCACATATTTATACATGTCTATCATGTGTCCTCTCAGTCGTCTCTTCTTCAGGCTAAACATGCCCAGCTCTTTAAGCCACTCCTCATAGGGCTTGTTCTCCAGACCCTTGATCATTTTAGTCACCCCCCCCGGAAGCAACTAAGTCTGCAACTTAAGTGGCCCAAGGCCTCTGCGACAGAAGACTGCACTGAAACCTTGGTTTTCCCAGTGCACCATCCTTAATTTACTGTATGACTGAATAGTACACGTGGAACAGCAATATATTAATAGTATCCTGCTACAAAGGAAGCTTTAACTGGAAATCCTAAGCTCTTCATCTCATCTGTTGCACAACGAAGGAGTGTAGGCACACACCCTAAAGAAAAAAAAGCCTAACCTGACGACACTTTCACGTTTTTTATCTTTTTAAGTGACAGAAAAGCATCTTACGTGCATCCTGATCTCAACAAATGAATCTTCAGCCGTGGTGCTGTTGAGTTTAAGCTGCAGCTCTGAAATTATGGCCACCAGATCGGCCTTTTCTGCCTGGAGCTTTGTCACCTGCATTTTCAGCTGCTCCAGTTCTTGTGCCGTCTCCTTTTTAGAAACTGTAGATCCCTAAGAGGAGGAATCAAGAGGTTGGATTAGTTAGATCCAAGGGAAAATAGGAGCTACAGAGGCAGACAATGCGGGGCATCCTGCATATTACTCCAGTATGTCAATCTCAACATGCATTTGTCTGTACACTAAGGCTGGATTTACACTGCCCTATACCCCAAGTACATTGTTGCCACATGTACAAGCTGGGTTTAGAAAAGGCAGAGGAACAAGAGACCAAATTGCCAATATCTGCTGGATAATGGAGAAAGGCAGGGAGTTTCAGAAAAACATCTATTTCTGTTTTATTGACTACTAGCTTGGGGACCCGGCGCTGCCCGGGTTATTTGAGAAAGGAATTGTGTATCAAGGTTGGTCTTTATCAGTTATTTATATGACTCGCAGTTGTCTCAGGAAGTTAGTGAAGGTACTGTGAGTCCTATTATCTGTGGTCCATCCTCCTCCAAACTGCTCCAGGATGGAGAGTGGGTCATGGGGGTTTTGTGTGCCAAGTTTGGTCTTGATCGGTCATTAGATTAGTGTTGCAGAGGTCTTGGGAAGTGAGTGGAGGTACTTGAAGTCCCATCATCCATAGTCTGTACTCTTCCAAACCTCACCAGAGTTGGCCATGGGGGGTCTATGTTCCAAGTTTGGTCTTTATTGGTTTTTGAATGAGTGTCGCTATGGTTTCAGGAAGTGAGTGAAATTTGGTCTGTATTGGTAATTTTCTGACTCAGCCCCTAGCCTTTTCCTTTCCTCTCTTTGTCATCTCGGAATCTTGGAATTGAGGCTGGCCAATCAGAGACCATATGCAAATTTCCTTCTCATGTCCCCATTTCTGTCATGAACGCTTTTCTCCACCAGGGGCTCCTCTTGAAGCTGGCCAGAGACCATATGCAAATAGCACCACAGCGGCAGCCAATCAGAATCTTGGAACTTTCAGGCTGGCCAATCAAAATGCTGGCACATACACCGCCACACCGCCACACTTTTGTTCTCCGCATACAAACTTTGACTTTTATTATATACATAGATTCTAAAGCCTTTGACTGTGTGGATCATAATTGTGGCAAGTTCTTTGTAGTATGGGGATACCAAATCACCTTATCTCTCTCCCGGGGAATCTGTATAATTTATTTATTTATTTACATCACTTATATCCCGCCCATATCAGCCCGCAGGCGACTCAGGGCGGTATAAGGATCAAGTAGCCCTATACAATAATATTCTTTCAAGTATCTAATACAGATTTTAATACAGCAAAGCAGGTCCAAGGCCACAAGCACAATGGAAGGAAACTATAGGAATCAAACAGGTAGAGAAATCAGAAAATGCAAGTTTGAATTTGGCATAAAGTCTGAACACATTTAGCAGATAACTATAAGAGCTACAGCATATTTACTGGCATGGGCCTTACAGGTAAGCTGCTTAGCAAGGATTGTCCAAGACAGAAAACTACTCCAATCCCTGCAATATAAAAATAATGCAGAGTTAAAATAGTCAAGGATTTAGCAGGATTTTAAAGAAGCCCAGATCTTCTGCTTGAGACACCTTATAGTAAATCTGACTTTATTGTTGGGGATTCAACTGTAGGGAAAAAGAGGTGCGTATTTGAGGTTTAAACCTCAAGTAAAGAAAACCCTGGAACATTCTGATTATTATCAGCATCAAGGAACAAGAATTTCTTGTTCACTGTGTATCTCCTGTTGCTGTAACAAAATATTCTGTTTGCACTACAATCCTAAGCATGTTTACTGAATTTGATGGGGCTAATGACTTCAGCCTTGAACAATTCACTATTTGTGGTATCTATGACTTTTGTTCATTCATCAGGCAACACACAGGCAGCGTTTCTCGCCATATCCGTGTTTCTCAGCATTCCCAAATACATCCCACTGACTGACACAAACATACACGCATTTTACTTACATCTGTGAGATCTTCCCCCTTTTCTTCAAAAGCCTGGAGCTGCTTTTTAAGTGTTTCATTCTCGACACATTTGTTTGCTAAGCACTGTCTCGCTTCCTTGAATTTAATTTCGTAAAACTCTCGTTCCTCCTTTAACTTCTCTTTCCACGCTGAAAGATTCTCAAAACGGTCCTTCATAGCTTGGTTATGTTGTCTCACGGCTTCTGTTTGACATGCAGAAATATAGCATTCATATGTGCTCAAACATTATTTTCTTAATTTTTTGGAATTTTAACATAGGCCTGAGTTTATATTTTTCTGGTTTGCACTATTCGTTAGAAAAAGGGATAACCTGTAAAATATCTGATTAATAGCATTTTTTTTCTACCATAATTCAATAAGCTCATTTTCCGGTCCCAATTCAAGGTGCAGGTTCTTACCTACAAAGCCCTGAACGGTTTGGGACCCACCTACCTGCGTGACCGCATTTCTGTATACGAACCCACACGATCTCTTCGGTCATCTGGAGAGGCCCTGTTCTCGCTCCCGCCTCCTTTGCAGGCGCAATTGGTGGGGACGAGGGAGAAGGCCTTCTCGGTGGTGGTCCCCTGACTCTGGAACTCACGTCCCAAGGATATCAGGCAAGTCTTGGCAGTCTTTAGGACAGTGTTTCTCAACCTGGGGGTCGGGACCCCTGAGGGGGTCGTGAGGGGGTGTCAGAGGGGTCGCCAAAGACCATAAAAAACACAGTATTTTCTGATGGTCATGGGGATTCCATGTGGGAAGTTTGAGCCAATTCTATTGTTGGTGGGAGTTCAGAATGTTCTTTGATTGTAATGAACTATAAATCCCAGCAACTACAACTCCCAAATGTCAAGATCTATTTTCCCCAGACTCCACCAGTGTTCACATTTGGGCATATTGAGTATTCATGCCAAGTTTGGTCCAGATCCACCATTGCATGAGTCCACAGTGCTCTCTGGATATAGGTGAACTACAACTCCCAAACTCAAGGTCAGTGCCCATCAAACCCTTCCAATGTTTTCCATTGGTCATGGGAGCCAAGTTTGGTTCAAATCCATCGCTGGTGGAGTTCAGAATGCTCTTTGATTATAAGTGAACTATAAATCCCAGCAACTACAACTCCCAAATTACAAAATCAATCCTCCCCAACCCCACTAGCATTCACATTTGGGTGTATTGGGTATTTGTGCCAAAAGTGGTCCAGTGAATGAAAATGGGTCCTTCATATCAGATATTTACATTATGATTTATAACAGTAGTAAAATGACTGTTATGAAGTAGCAATGAAAACAATATTATGGTTGGGGGTCACCACAACATGGGGGATTGTATTAAGGGGTCACGCCATTAGGAAGGTTGAGAACCACTGCTTTAGGAGAAGCCTGAAAATGTGGCTGATCCAGTGTGCCTTCCCTGAATAAAGTAACCAATTCCCTGCAAAATGTCCTCAGAAGCACTTTAACTACCCGTTGGGTTGCCCTCATTACATTTCTTTTAAAACCTTCCTACTTAGATACATCCTACCTCTGCTTATGCCCAGCAATTATTTTTTAAAATTTTAAACTATTACATCTGGCCTGGCAATAGGTTATTAATTTTTTTAAATTTTTGTGTGTTATTGTCTATATATGAGTTATATTAATTATATTGTTTTATTTGCTTATTGCTTTGTTGTTTACTGATGTGTTGTTGGGCTTGACCTCATGTAAGCCGTCCCGAGTCCTCTTGGGGAGATGGTGGCAGGGTATAAATAAAGTTATTATTATTATTATTATTATTATTATTATTATTATTATTATATAATGTATTATATATAATGTATAATATCAAAAAGGACCACCACCTCACCCGCCTCATAGGAAACCTGTTTTTTGTTGAGTTCCAGGGCCAGAGAAGCAGATGGCGGAAAAAGAAGAACAGCCTGCCTCAGGGGAGCATGCTTGCTCCATCCATGTTCAACTTTTACACAAATGACCAGCCACTGCCAGAAGGCACAGAGAGTTTCATCTATGCTGATGATCGTGTCATTACCGCTTAAGCAGGGAGCTTTGGGATGGTTGAACAGAAGCTCTCCGAAGCTGTAGGTGCTCTTACTGCCTATTACAGGGAAAACCAACTGATCCCTAATCCATCTAAAACACAGACATGTGCCTTTCACCTTAAGAACAGACAAGCATCCCGAGCTCTGAGGATTACCTGGGAAGGAATCCCACTGGAGCATTGCAGCGCACCCAAATACCTGGGAGTCACTCTGGACGGTGCTCTGACCTACAAGAAGCACTGCCTGAACATGAAACAAAAAGTGGGAGCTAGAAACAATATCATACAAAAGCTGACTGGCACAACCTGGGGATTACAACCAGACACAGTGAAGACATCT